GGGGAAGATGACGGTGGCTTTGCTGAAGCACTCGTTGTAGATGAAGCCAGTATAGATGGAGAAGGCCCCCATGAGCAGGATGAGGTAGCGCCCCTCGAAGAATGTCAGCCAGATCTGGTGGGGGCAAATATGACTTCCACATTCCACACCACCTCCCTGGCCTCACACCACCTCCCCTGCCCCACATCAACCCCCTCTCACCCCACCAACCCTGCCCCACACCACCAGCCCCATCCCACACCTCCAAGCCCATCCCACATCCCCAACCATGTCCCTCACCTCCAAACCTGGCCCCCCACCATGTCCCCCTCACCTCATTGCTGGACTGTCGCAGATTGGGGCTGTTCTCATACAGCACCATCCAGAGAGCGAAGAGGAACATGAGCAGCCCATGCCCCACGTCCCCAAACATGATGGCGAAGATGAAGGGGAAGGTGATGATGGCGTAGGGTGCTGTGGGGGCACAGAGACCATATTACACAAGCCCCCCCCAATCCCCTCCCCAGTCCTGGGCTACGGCAGGGGGCTGAGGGGGTCTTACCGGGGTTCACCTCCTGGTAGCTGGCCACCCCATAAGCATCCACGATGCTCTGGAAGCCAGCGGTGAACTTGTTGGTGCGGATGAGGGTGGGCGGGCTCTCCGAGGTGGGAATGCGCTGCACAAAGCACTCCACGCTCGAGCCGCTCTTGTACTGTGAGGAAAAGCACCCAGTGCCTGACCCATGGCACCCCCTGCTCAGCACCCACCCCACCACGGCAGGAGGACACAGGGACACCGAGAGACCTCTGGCATGAGGATGGGGGGACACCAAGTCACTCCAGCACAAAGACATGGAGACACCAAGCAACCTCTGGCAAAAGGACATGGGGACACCAAGCAACCCTTGGCATGAGAACATGGGGACACCAAGTGACCTCTGGTATGAGGACACGGGGACGCCAAGCAACCCTTGGCATGAGAACATGGGGACATCAACCAACGCCAGTACAAGGACACGAGGACACCAAGCAACCCACCGATCCCTGGCGCAGGGCATCCTGCACTTGGGTGAGGTCCCGCACGGGGCACCAGACCTCAGCGATGAGGCACTTCTCGGTGACATCGAAGCTGCACTGGTTGAGGACGAGGTAGATGGCCTTCATCTTCTGCACCTGCACCCGCCAGGTGGGCAGCGCCAGCGCCACCTTGTCCAGCACCTGCGCCAGGTACTGCTCCGTCTCCTCCAGCACCTGTAGGCGCCCAGCGTGGGTCAGGGATGGGTGGGGGGGTCCTGGCATGGCCCCCCGGTCCCCCCGAAGGTGCCCAGCTCACCACGCTGAGGTCCTGGATCTGGCTCTGCAGCCCGCTCATGGTGTCCACCCGGCTGGCCTCGCTCTCTGGGTAGGGGTACACATGGCAGTGGAAGCTGGGACAGACAGACGCTGCCGTGTTGGGGGGGTGCTGGGGCTCCCTGGGGTGGTCCAGCCCGTCCCCGTGCTGGGGGGGGCTGGAGTGGGTCTTGCTAAATAAACCTCCGCATGGCACAGGGCCACTGGCTCACCAGTCTGAGATCTTGCGGATCTTCTGCCCGATCTGCTCACCCCAATAGGAGATGAGGAAGATGACCCAGGTGATGCTCTCGCCCTGGGGACAGCACAGCCCACGTCAGCTCCGGGCCCCCTTCCCTGCCAGCCCCCACCCCAGTGCCCCTCTCACCGTGGCTGGGTCCTCCATGGGCTCGGGCATCTCCACAAAGCTAGCCACCAGGTAGCCACGGCAGGCGCGCCACAGCAGCCGCTCGAAGGCGCTCACCCGCCACGGGTGAATGACACCGGCCACAAAGCTGCGGGGACATGGCAGGGGCACTGGGATGGGCACAACTCTGCTGCTGCCCCAGCCCCACGGCCAGGCCTCTGCCCCATGGCTCCCCCCACAGCTATGCCACACGGCCACACCATTGCCCCATGGCCCATCTCCAACCCTTACCCACTACTCCTGCCCCATGGCCACGCCACTGCCCTACAGGTCATCTCCAACCCTTATCCTACAGCTTGCCCAGTTGCCCCATGCCACTGCCCCATGGCCCATGTCGAATCATTACCCTATATCCTTACCCACTATCCCTGCCCCATGGCCACGCCACTGCTCCATGGCCCATCTCCAACGCTTATCCCACATCCTCCCCAGTTGCCCCATGACCACCCCACTGCCCACAGCCCCTCTCCAACCCCCGCCCACGTGCCAGCCCCTCTGACTTGATCTTGCGGTCAAGGTGCTGGTGCAAGGAGGGGTCAAGGAGGGGGTCACGCTCCGAGAACGCCCGGGGCCGCGGCGGAGATCCCAGGGGAGCCTGCGGTGATGGGGAGCAAAGAAATGAGGCTGATGAGGGGTGGGGACGGGGGAAAGTGGGGCACAAGGTGGCACCTCCGGGACGTGTCCCCTTTCCCAGACCCACCGGCCAGCTGGTGAAGCGTTGGCCCTCGCGCAGGACGTGGAGGTACTGGCGCAGCTCCCGCAGGCGCCCGCACAGGGAGGCCCGGTTGCGGCTGACCTCCCGCAGCTCCTGTGCCAGCTGCTCCGACTGCTCCTGCACCCGCAGGGCCTCCCGCGCCAGCGGCGCCCGTGGGCTCTCAGGACACGGCCCCAGCACCCGCCCGGCTCCCCGCAGCTCCTGCTGCAGGAAAGCTGAGAGAGTTGCGATCAGATGTGGGATGGAGGGGTCAGGGGGGTCGGGGGGCACCCCCCCTCTCCCCAAGGCAGCCCCACGTCCCCCCGGCACTCACTGAAGGTCTTCTCCATCTCCTCGCAGCGCCGCACCTCGCCCACGAAGCGCCGCTGGAAGGCACTCACTTTGGGGTTCAGCTGCCGGGG